ACATTTAAATGTAGTTGTTTCACAAAAGCACAGAATTTGGTAAAGTACAACATTAAATGCAGTCATTAAAACTGTATTTGAGACAAGCCCCTGGAATCAGTGTATAAATACAGTGAAGAGACGACACAATCAAAGACATTGGCATGCACAACTATGAAACACTGTACTCAACACCACAACTGAAGCAAATATTTCATTTTCACTCTGATGGACTTAGTTAAACCAAAAATGAAAATTTACTGAATTTGACCTCCAAGATGGAGATGAGTTTGTTTCTTCATCAGATTTGGAGACATGTAGCATTCCATCATTTGCTCACCAATGGATGCTCTGCAGTGAATGGGTGCCGTCAGAATGAGAGTCCAAACAGCTGATAAAAACATCACAATAATCCACACCACTCCAGTCCATCAGTTAACGTCTTGCGAAATAAAAACAAATCCATCAAGACCTTTTTTCATTTCATATAAGCCCTCTATACTGTATATCAGTGGTTCTCAAACCTGTCCTGGAGTACCCCCAGCCCTGCACATTTTGTATGTCTCCCTCATCGATCACACCTGATTCAACTCATCAGCTCATTAGTGGAGACTGCAAGACCTGAAGTGGGTGTGTCAGATATATGGAGACATACAAAATGTGCAGTGCTGGGGGTACTTCATGGAGAGGTTTGAGGACCACTGCTGTATATAATATTGCTTGCTCCAGTGAAAAAGTCGTCTCATCTGGATCAGGAGAGAAATCTGCACAGATCAAGAATTGCTTACCAGTTAAAATGGTCCAAAACAGATCTAAACAAACGTGGGTTGATTTTAATGTTAGAGGACAACAGGAGATGGACTTTTTCCTCTGGAGGAAGCATTTTTATGGATTATGGACTTGTATTTTGGCCAGAAGCGATGGTTTGAAGTTAAAAATGGCTTAATGATGGACTTGTTTCTTACAAACATTCAGCTTTTGGCTTCTCAAGACATTAACTGATGGACTGGAGTGGTGTGGATCCCTTGTGATGTTTTTATCAGCTGTTTGGACTCTCATTCTGACGGCACCCATTCACTGCAGAGGATCCATTGCTGAGCAAGTGATGCCACATTTCTCCAAATCTGATGAAGAAACAACATTCTGCTACATCTTGGATGGCCTGAGGGCGAGTACATTTTTCATCATTTTCATTTTTGGGTGAACTATTCTTTTAAAATTATCATTAGCAATTAATCATGTCTGATGTCTATTATTCTTCCATGACAATGACAAACTTTATAGTACCCAAACGCACAATATCTCATCAAAACTGTAATTCATACGAGTTAACCAACTGGCAAAATATGCATTAGTAGAGTCATATGAAAATATATGGCTTATAGTCCCATTGAGAAATCAAATCAACCAAAACAAATCGATACAAATCAGCATCTGTACTGTCAACATAAGATTTGAATGAGATTTGAAATACATTTGGTAGTGTTGTATTTTTAAAGTACATTTTAGCAAAACAGCTCCTTCGGTGTTTAATAAAACAGAAAATTATAAAGTTTTGGAACAAGATGAGGATAAAGAACAATTTGAATATATTTAACATGAAAAACTGCAATAAGCTGGATCTGTAGAATAAGATGTTATGGACATATACAATTCATATTGCATAAAAATCCCTGTATGATGATTTACTGATTTGGCATTATTTTGGTTGATTGGTTTGTCTCAGTAATTGGAAAACATGTATGATCTCTTATGAGTTCAAACAAGGTTAACTCATAGTTATTGAGTTTTTGGCTTGTTGCATAAAAACAATTTCACATATAAATCAATCATATAAGCAGATGTGATCTACTTCAAATCACTCATTAATGCTCATTTTGTAGACTTCATATCTATATCTAATGAAAAACCGCATCTAAAAGGTGTAAAAACAACATTCAAATTTTACATCGTCAAAACAATCCGTCAATCATGGTTAATTACTCATGACTTATTGATCTACACATGGTAATCTGCCAAGATACATACATTTAAAAACACTATATTTTATATTGCCTTTTACTGAATTTCACTCTCAATTAAGCAATCAACCAATCATTTAAGATTCTTTAGAGCATTTAACTCGTCATTCAATTACAATTAAACTAAACTGGAACTATTAGCCTGTATTTTCTGTATTTTTATCTACAAAAGGAAAAATATTGACTTTTAATATTCACCTCAGACAAAAATTTTGTAAAGCACATAAAAGAATGTACAGTGTCCACTGTACCTCTGAGAACAAGCAATAAATCCATATTTCAAATCCAATTCCCGCCCAAAGAAAACTTTTTTTTTAGGATGCAATGATTGTCTACAATTGCTTACCATCGGTTAATGCACAATTTCTTCTGAACTAAAAATTAAGTTTGTAGGAGTTGATGAAACGATAATAAGGCAGCAAATAAGCTTGATTCTAGTGGTTCAGTGAACACTGGAGTTACAGTACACAGGGTTGGACAAATAATTAAGCAACTAATCGTTCTGCTTTTGCCCTTCTGTTAGTCACAAGAGAAATGGACATGAAATATAAAATGTACTGATTAAAATATTAGCTGGTGTCTTACTATAGCCATATTCACCGGTATCACAGCCCATTTTGGTACAAGAAATATTAGCAATTTTACTTTAACTTGACATTAACATATGGAAATTCTGAATTTGTTAAAGATATTACAGTTTGTGTTTGGAATGACAATTATTAGTACCTGTAACTATTACAAAAACACAAGTTTGTCCAATCCTGTGACAGCATCTTATAAAGCACAATACTGAACAGAGGAAAAGGGGTGTGATTAATACCACGTCAGGACCATTACTTCAGAAAAACCTACACAAATAACCTGGGAAAACAGTCATTTCTGCACAGGAACTCCTGACAGATGGGCACTACATCCAAAAATCCCAATAAATCCCATGGAACAGGGCTCTACGCATGGTACAAATGCTTTCAAATCCTTAAGTGTGCATAAAAATCTCTATTCAAAATCTCTAGCCTGATCTAAAAAAGCATACTTTAGGAGAAAGATCATGTATTAAAAGTGCAACATAATTTCTGAATTTATAACAGTGGAACAAATCAATAAAATGCAAATAATGCATTGCTGTCTTTCCCTGATTGGTGTTGCTGCAATTATAGGTTGTACAGTTGGGAATACAGAGAAAAATAAAAATAAAAAACAAAACCAACCACCTGAATAATTGGCCATTTTTTGGCTAGGAGGCCGCAGCCAGAATTACAGGTTGCCAGAATTACATTAAACAAAATTGACAATGCAGTTGTGCATTTACAATCCATTTGCTAAACCCGAGTTGCAGTTTTAGTTTAAATGTTTGGCATAATGCCTATAAATCTAGTGTATGTGAGGTCAATCACAATGCATCACACATGGTATTACAGTGTCCTCAGCATTTACATTTATGCACAAATTTAGCCTGTAGAAAACCGTCACACAGCAGAGCCATGAAGCAACAGGTTAAGACAGTGACAGTCTTTAAAATCAGACCAACAGGGTTTGAACTGAGGGTATGTGCTGCATTAATCCAAATACTGATTTTGAAAATATTTATTAAATATCTGTTGCATATTAAATCAAACTTAAATCATTACAAACACGTGTTTGGAGAGAGAGAAAAAAAAAGAAGAAAAAAAAAAAAACAGTATAAAACGCTAAAACCGTTCACGTTCCCTTTGGAAAAGCAATATAGCAGTTCTTCTCCATTCATAAAGCACTGAAGGAGATATAATAATACGAAAGGCATACATTGTTTTATTTGCCCAGTAGATTTACATTCTGACATTGCAGAGCTGTATATATTCTACATTTAAAATGGTGAAGAACTGCTACATCTGAAGCATCTAAGAGGGCGTAACATTAACAAACATGGAAAATAAATGAATAACGAATTGATGTGAACCGAGAAATGTCAAATTCAGATAAGAAATTAACTTTTAAGATGGAAAAGTTTGAGTAGCTACTAAAAACCTGCAAATGACTCTGAAATACTAGGATGTACAAAATGACCCTTCACAGTAAAAATACATTTAACTTGCTCTGACAGAGGACATTCAGAATGAGTTTTCTTAAATTATACTGTACAGATGTGCTCCAGACTAAACCGTAACACACAAAACAATCTGAATTTGCCTACACCATGACAACTCAACCTGACAGAAGACTACAGCTTCATGTTTTTAAATGCCAAAGCAGATCAATTTGACTCCATTCATTTGCTTTTCATAAATCAATGAGGAACTAAACACTAGAACAACCATTATTATGTCAACAACAAATTGGTCTACAGGAATGTCAATGCAGAATCTGAGAAACATGATTTTGCTCATTTCAATATGGGATAAAAACATTCATTTTCTCTCATCCAACTACAACCAATTTTCTACACATTTATGGTCACAGGTTGAATTTATATTTCATAACCACAACTCTAAAGACATGAAATGCATCCTGAATTTCAATTTTTGGCAAACATTTAGTAAATTAGGCAAAATATGATAAGGGAAAATTTGTTTGACCTCACATGAAGACAAAATTGGCATGGTCTAAAAACTAGCAGCAAATCTCAGTTAAACGGACAAATAAGTGCAGTAACTTGCATTTTAAAATGCAAATCGATTTTTTAAATAAAACGTTGCAATACACATAAAATCCTTTCAAAGACAAACTGGATATCAACAACACAATTGCGGAACAGTTTGTGGTTGCTGGAGCTGATATTGCACATTGAACGGCTTCAAGACCAGGTATACACGTTTTAAATATCAGAGTACTCAGATCACGCTACATACGTAAAATAAAAAGAAAAAAATAGATTAGCTGTAGAGAAAAAAATGACAGTACTTGTATAGGTTCCGGGACTCACCTTTTCTGATCACATACCTGTGATCCCGACCTCTGCAATAGCATGTACATCTGAATCCTGAAAGAAAAGGGGAGAAAAACAGAGACAAACAGGATACACACCTTCCTCTCCAACTAACGGCGATACTCCCGCTCACGTTCTCTGTCTCTCTCGCGGTCACGGTCACGATGGCGGTCTCTCTCGCGGCTGCGCTCCCTGTAATAGTCCTCGCGTCGATCTCGGCTGCGAGACTTGCGGTGACGCTTCTCACTAGAGCGACTGTGGTCCCTCTCCCTGGACCGTTCCCGTCTGCTTAAGGTTGAAAAGCATTGAAGAGAATATGAAACCACATGAAATGCATTTGCAATGCATCAAATCATTTTGCATTCGTGAAATTTTGCAATGCACCAAATATGAATTCATGAAAATGTCTGCAATACACCAAATATTTTAAATGAATGAAATTTTGCAATACATTAAATAATTTCACATGCATGAAACAATGTTTTAAAGTAACCCTTTTTTTTTTTTTTTTTTTTTGCAAAATTTGATACATAGCAAAACTGATGCATTGCAAAATTATTTGGTGCAATGGAAAATGGATATAAAAATATTAAAATTTAATGCATTGCAAAATTTCATGAACTACAAAATTATTTGATGCATTTAAATATCAAAATTCGCAACATCAATATCAGATTTAGCAATGCATGAAACAATTTAAATACATTAACATTTTTGTAATGCATCAGACTTTGCAATGCTTGAAACAATTTTGCATGCATTGTTTCAAATTGAAAGATTCAACAGAAAACACAAGTTGGGAGTGTGTATCTTATCAATCTGGATTTAATAGGATCATTAAAGGGAACATATTAGGTTCTGATACTATTGGTTAACATTTTACCAGGTTGCTGCAATGCCTATTAAATTCTTATTTGGATCCAATGCCTGATTTTTACCTGCCTGCATAGCTTTGGTTACATCAGCAGAAAAGTGATCTCTAAAGACATTTAACTTGGATGAAAGATCATGCAAACATTATGAAGCATCCTCTAAAGCAGGGGTCGGCAACATTGGCACGCAGAGGGATAATTCACTGGCATGCGAACAATAGGAAAAACTGCATACCGACATACATTTTGAGGTAATCATTCCTCATAGTCACACAGCCCGTTAGGAGCTATAAATATTATATAAAAGTGTGAGAATTAACCTGCGCTAGTCTACAGATGCGCGTGGCTCCAGCAAACCATTAGCGTGACCGCTGCGCATGCAAGGGTGCTTCAGAGCAATGCTGAGCTGTGCTTTCACATAGTTAAAGTCTGTTTAGCTTCAGTTAGGCCATGCGATTGAGAACATGACAGCTTACAGTTTATTCTGCATTTGTTGCTCTTGGCAATAAATTAATTCGCGCAATAAATGCTGGTTATATTTGAGTTGGTTTACAAGGTTCTTAACATTCCACACACGAATCACAATGATGGTGTTGTGTGATCAACATTCACACACACATACAGTGGTGTTCAGCAGGGTCACACTGTAAATCTGTTATTCAAAGTCTAATTTAAACTTTAAAATAAACAAACTTTTTGGATTTTGAAAAGTTTAAAAACAGGGTTTCTGCAGGATTTTTAAGCTCAAATTTAAGACTTTAAGACCTTTTTAAGACCTGCACAAATAAAATTAATACCATATGAACTAGGGCTGGGCGATAAAATATATATCTTTAAAAATATCGCGATATCCGATAATATCGTCTACCTAAGCCCCACCTCCACCACGCCTTGCCCCCGCCAAAACAACATTGCCGACATGCACCATAAACACACACCATGTTCAGTTTGGTCTTAATTATTGCCACAAAGTTTGGTTTTACTTTTCTTAGTTTGTGCTTAAACTAACAGAAAACATTCATATGTTATTTTGGTGTTGCTAATAATTTTCACTCTGTTCTTATCAAATTTGTGTTTGAAATGAATTTCGTTTTGTGAGGAGAACTGTTGAGGAAAAATAATAATACCCAATTTTAAGTTCATCATGGTGAAGTTGGACATTCTGGCGGTGATTGTAAGAATGATAAATGCATGTTGATGTCATATAATAATGTCTTGAATAAAATATGCCTATTTTCCGATGTTTCTCTTTCTTTTTGGCATTATATCGCCTGTGTAGACATTTCATGATGGTAAGTTTAATTTTCTTATTTATAACAATTGCTGCGTTGTTTTTAAACTTGTAGTCAAGCTATAACATATTTGATATTTATCATGTATTACTAAAATCATGCAGGGATTAAAAATGAATTCTGAGCAAAAACATTACGTTTTTTCTTTCCTTTCTGGTAGCCTACTAGTTCGGAAGTCTCTTTTGGCCCGTTTTTAACTAAATAAAAATAACTGCTTTATTTATTTAGAAGCAGGGTAATTTAAATTTCATTTTTGTATTGTAATTTTTATTTTATTAATCAAAATACAACACCCACAATATAATATTCAGTGTTGGGCTGCCGAAACTCCGATCGCATGCATGTTGAGGGGCGAGCTTAGAAGCCTACTAATGTCTTCATCCGTTTGCAACAAAACTTTATCGTTTTGTTGCAAATGAATTAAGAATTTTTAGTGCTATATCTCAGCTTAATTAATCATAATTATATTGTATTCACGGTAGGGCTGTGCGATTAATTGAAATCGCGATTTGAGACGTTGCGATTTCCTAATCGCAAAGCCTGCGATGTGGACGCGATATTACTCTGTTCCAGAGCATATGCATGACTGCCAGCCTTGAGTTGCAATCTTACTTGCCCTGGGCAAGAGTGAGCGTACCTCCATTCTCCCCAATCAGCACTGCTCTAGCCAACTGCATAAACACCCACCACTTAAAAAAAAAAAAACCGCGGGACGGGAGAGAGACGGAGTGGGATTATGGCATCTACTGGGTCAGATCGATAGTTAGGCAAATTAAAACTAAAGAAAACCGTATGCAACTTAAGCTTCGAAATGACAGACAACGAACAAAAACAAATTTAATGGATTTCAGGGTTATAATGGGAATTGTATTGGTTTTAATGTAACCTATAATGTGGTGTCTATTTGATGGATTCTATTGGTGGATGTAATCTGGCAGATGGCAACCAATAGAACAACAGTAATTCCTATTGGAATAATGCCCAAAACAAAAAGGAATTTTGTAATGGTTTAATGGAAACTATAAGAATTTCTGTGATGGTTTCTATTGTTTTTTTCAGCAGGGTAATGATACCCATACTGTGCTGCACATTATTGACAATACTGAGCTGAAGCTTGACTTTGCAAATTTAAAATCACAGGTTTAAAAAATCTGTAAAAATTACACGGAAATGTGTGCTGAAGGAATTTGCGTATTTTAATTATACCCGTCATATTTTCTGTTTAACTTTTATTAAAATGCAGATCAAAATAAGAATAGGCTAATTTATATTGGAACGCATCTCCAAAATAATCGCATACACAGATGCACGTTGCCATTACAGTAGTCAGCGCCGAACAACAGGCAAATAAAATATAAACTGAGGTTACAAAAGTGATTCAGTCAAGATCAGTGAGGGATTTTCTTTTCTTTTGTTCTTTGATTAACATTAATGACTGGCGGCAGCGGCTGCTGTCAGTTCACGGATCCAATACATCCTTGTTTTCTTTCTCAACTCTTTTCGTTCACTTAAGACATAACCAATTGTATTTATGGGATATTTTGATATAATTCTATTTGTATGTCCATTCGAATGTGTAAGAATGCGAGAAAGAGAGCTCAGTCCAGTGTATTATAATAAAATCATTTAAAACAACTAGCCTATAGGGTCCTAGAAATGCGGTCCTGAATAAAACATGATATTTTTTAAATATTTTTTTTCCTGAACTTTTAAAAAATATTATGTACTGTATAAAGCATGTATTTACAAATATAAAAAAAAAGGGGGGGGGGGTCTTATTGGCACAGTGGTTATCCAGAAAAACGAAAAAAAAGAAAAGGGAAAAAAAAAAGGCACTTTATGCCCAAAAGGTTGCAGATCCCCGCTGAAACAAAAATAGTGTAGATCCACAAGATCTTTACCTTGATGCAGAGCCATAGGATTTGGACTCGATTCCATGCAAGCAGTCCTGCAGTGAGCTGATGAGAACTTTACAGCGGTCATCAGCAGAAACCTTCGACTGCTTGATCAGAGAGATGGCCGTCACCAGAGTCTCTATAGCACTGCCGTAATCAGCTGCAAAAACAGAGCATTTCATTACCACCTGACAAACCAAACTAAACATTCATGCTGCGTGTGTATAAGTGTTTTCGCACCTGCACTTGCGTCTGACACAGCCCTTGAGATAGCACTGCTGGAGATCGCTCTGTTACGATTCATGATCTCCTCAAACTCAGCTTCGCTCAGAGGAGTGCGAGACGAATCCATGTCCCTACAAGAGGAAAAGCAGATGCATTGAAACAAAGCATAAATCAGAATAAAACACTAACACATCAGGGTCCAATTTCACACAGAGAGCAGCAGTGCCGTTAGTGCTGAATCACAAAGCATGTTAAAACTAGTGATACACTGAAATTTTGGTAACCAAACACATTTGTATGAAACCACGGTTATTATAGTTAACTAAGATTGAACCTAAAACCTTTAAAAACATTGTTTCATTAAATAAAATAAACGTTAACTGAAAAAAAAATCCTTTATTTCATCTAGTCGCCAAAGCACCATTTCTCATTTTAGTTTAGTTTACCTTGAAGTACTAAACCTAAAAATAAACTATAGACAATTAACTAACTATAGAAAAAAAAAAAATTACAAAAAAAATTAAATTACAAAAAATTCAACTGAAAAATATAAGTTTCTCAATGATACGAAAATAAACTAATTTATAAAAAATAGACATTACTAGATTACAAAAAATTAAAATGAACCGAAAATAAAAATATTTTAAATTATAATAGTATCCTAATTTTATAAAAAAAAAATTATAAAAAGCTACAGTTTATATATATATATATATAAATATAAATGATATAAAAACTGAAACTAAAACTACAGTATCTCTACTGAAGAACTTTACAAGAAACCCTGAATAGCAAAAATAATTTAATTGCACAAATTTTTGGTTTAATTTTTTGGCTAAATGAAAACCTCAATTTCTGTTTCAATAAATTCATTTTGGAGCATCACTAGTAACAAAAATAACAATAAAAAAATAAAATCACTGCAGAAACGGCACACACTCGATGCATTCAGAACACACTCAAGCCTGAGCGAAGGTCCTGTTTCAGGATCCTGGTCTCAGCGGACGGTTACTTCACTAACCCTTGATCACTTGTATTGTGCAAGTGCTGGCCAGAGTTTTTCACATCAACCAACCCCTCGTTTATCCAGGGCTCAAAGCCACATACTACAGGGGGTCTGAAGTTACTGAAGAAAGGCCAGAGAGGAGATTCAGGGTCAGTTGGAGGCCAAACGCGTCACCAATAACCTCCACTCCTGGAGTTAATAGTAAATACCAAATCGCAAAGGCTAAGATTTAATTAAATATGTGCTGCATGTTTCACAGCAAAAAAAAAAAGTTTAATATGATTTTATGATAAAATTACAATAGTTACTTTTTGTAATAATCAAATAATACAGTATTGTTAAAGTTAATATGTGCTGCATGTTTAATTCAGAGTAAGAATAGCAAAAATAAATAAATGTAACCACTTGAAATGACAATAGTTATTAATATTTGTCATAATCACAATAATAATTCTCATCATTAGTCCATTAATGTGCTGCATGTTTCCAAAAACAATAAATCAATATAAAAATGTATTTCTTAGTTTCTGCATGTTCTAATGAGTGATATTGTTTAAAATCATGAAACAGGTTTGTGTTGCCTGACTTTGATGACCCGTATCTTCAGCACAGTTTGCAGTGAAGGCTGCAGTATTAATATTATTATATTTTTTTGTCTGGCAGTGTTGCATTTAACCTTCCACCATTGCTGTCTCTCATCGTATCGCTGATTGGCCTCTGCTCTGCCTGTGCGTGTTCATGTGTTTTGGAGGCGCCGTGGCTTTTTGCAGAGTGATTATGCAGGGAAGGTGGGATCTTGCTTTCAAAGCTAGCTTGCTATTGCTAGCCTTTCCAAAATCGCCTACCCAACCTTTAAGTGCAGGAAGGGAAAGAACCTCCACAGTTTTGTGCCGCGCACACATCTAAAGCGTGAGCACAGAGAAACACGGTTTCAGTGCACTTCCCGGCTGTTCTCGAACCGTTCCGTGCATTTCTGCTGCGGATAAGCTATTTCCAGGCTTTCACATCTTGCGACCAATACGCACAAAATTACATCATTATATCCCTGTACAGTCACAGCCGTTTTTTGTCTCAAGCGAACATAAACAGATGAGAAAGACCGCGCACACATCTAAAGCGTGAGCACAGAGAAACACGGTTTCAGTGCACTTCCCGGCTGTTCTCGAACCGTTCCGTTCATTTCTGCTGCGGATAAGCTATTTCCAGGCTTTCACATCTTGCGACCAATACGCACAAAATTACATCATTATATCCCTGTACACAGCCACAGCCGTTTTTTGTCTCAAGCGAACATAAACAGATGAGAAAGAAAGCGCCTGTGTAACAGTATTTTTAGATCCGCATGTGTTCGGTGATAAAGACACAGCAGCCTAATACACGTCTGCGGATTTTCATTAATGTTAATCAAAGAACAAAATAAAATCATTCACTGATCTTGATTGAATATCTTTTGCAACTTTAATGAGGATTAATCTATAGTTTATTTATGAAAACTATGCAGTGTTTTTAACCTTTTGATTTCAATTTCTGTACCTGAAATTTGTTCAGTTGTATTTTTTATGCTATTGCTAATTGATTTGTTTTTATTTTATTACTGACTTTTTTATATCGTCTTTACAATTTAATGTTTGAAATTTATATTAGTCTATTTGTTTTCACTGTGGTATTTTTGTTAAAACCATAGGCAAAAGTTCCTCTTGTAGGCCAAAGTGTGCTGTAGGCTGATGATTTTTGCTCATGTTATTCAGCTGCAACAGAACGCTTTGTAAAAAGACAGAATCTAAATGTTTGACTTATTTCTTTTTATCTTATTGGAATCGATAAGAATCTGAATCGATAAAATTCAAATGATACCCAACCCTAGTTATAAGTAATTTACTTCAAATAAAAAAAAATATATATATATATCTTTTTTTTAATAATTTTATTTAGTAATAATTACTACAATAGTATTATTTTTACAGTTATACTGAAACCTGAAGCTTGTACTTGACAAAAAATAAAAATAAAACATTTAATTTTAAATGCGCTACTGCAATTTTTATTAGGAAAAGAAGAAAAAAAACGCAATTAGTTTTGAAATCGTGCATCCGTATATAATCCAAGCATTTCGTTTTCACTGGTGTGGCCTGAGAACTCGTTACGGGTGAGATTTACTGTACAGTGAAGGTGAGGTGTTTCTTACCTGCCGCCAGGGCCATAGTCTCTGTCATATGGAGGAGGGCGGCCGTACATGTCACCCGGGGGTGGGCCCCTGCTGTCGGACGATGGCATGTTGTTGTTTCCAGGCGGTGGGAAGAAGGCCGGGTTGACATGAGGGGCCGTGGGTGGACCTCCAGGCGGGGGTCCCTGCATGTGAGGTGGAGGCACGAGGCCAAGCGGGGGTCCTAAGGGCCCAGGTGGACGGGGAGGGAAGGGTCCCGGAGGGGGCAGTCCCTGCTGAAGTGGAGGGGGGGCGGGGGCGCGGGGAGGGAAGGGTCCCGGAGGGGGCAGTCCCTGCTGAAGTGGAGGGGGGCCTGGGGGAGGCCCGTATCCAGGTGGGGGCGGGCCAGGAGGCATCGGTCCCATAGGAGGCTGACCAAACTGACCAGGAAACATGACGGGTGGAGGAAGACGGTCTCCTCTGTTAGGAGGACCTCCAAGGGGCGGCAGCAGACCTTGTCCAGGTAGAGGGGGGCCAGGGGGTCCTGGAGGCCCAGGTGGGCCTGTGGGAGGACGCGGGGGGCCTTGCATACCTGCAAAGGGAGGGTTTGAAAAATTAACTATTTACTTTGATCAAAGACAGCAGTAGGAAAGTAGTGCGAGTATTCCAAAAATGTTGTCAGACAAACCCCTTTGACCTAAAATAATTAGAAGTCCCCATGAGATTTTAAGTTAATATTTCAATGATTTAAAAACAATTATTTGCATGCTCACAGTTATCTGTTATTGAATGTTTACATGACATAGTAACATAGCCAAAACCACCGCATATAGCCGCTCTTTAGTGTAGATGTTGATTTTATCAGACAAAAGGCGCATTTCCATTACCCTTCAAATTGCGCAAATTGAAAATAAGCCTAATGGAAACGCGTCAATTTCGCAAAAACGCCCATATATCGCAAAAAAGTTTTTACGCTCGCATGGTGGTTTTTCAGGCAATGCGAAAAAGGAATAATTCGCAAAACTGCAATGGAAACTTTTTTTCGCATTTACAGGTCACATGGCGTATGTAAAAAGTCATATGATCATTCTTCAATGTACTATAACCTCCAAGAAACACTTCATAAGTGGCCGCGCTCCAGTATAAAGGGGCTTTCCCTACCATTAATGCTTAGACAATTTACACTGCACACGTCTGCGGTGCAGTGTGGCTCTGATACGGTAATTGCAATGACAGGCCAATCATAGTGTACGTTTTCTCTTGTATCTCTCTCTCTTTACAGATTGGTGTCGTTTTTGGACAGTGTCACTTAGAAAGATGAGTGAACCATTAGAGCTCATCATTCTGTAAATCCGAATTCACCGAAAATCATTTTACAAAGAAACAGCTTCACAGAACTATAAATACTATGCTTCTTTGTTCACTTATATGTGAGGGGGAAATGTTCAGCCCTTAATTTTATATAATGTCAAAACAATTTACACGTTTTTTTTTTATCCCAATGAGCTTTATGTGTTGCAATTTATCACAATCCTTCCACGTTCAGGATGAACGTGTGTTAAAGAGCACTGTTCAACCCCCATATATTTTTTTTCTGAGGAGTTTCCTCACAAGAACTGTGGAAAGCAGCCAACTTGGGAGGAAATGAGCATCACACATTTCACCAGTGCGATAATGATTCGCTTGATTGTGTTGGGTGAGTCAGATTTCGCTTTCTTTATTTTACCCGTTATTTTTACTCAATGTTTACTTAGGCCTAATTATAAAGGGTGTAAAAGGCCCCTAGATATTTGTTATAATTTAAAAAACAAGAACGGCAACAGTATAAATCAGCCTGTTCACGCAAACTCCAGTAACGACAGATGTAGCTATAGCCTATTACCTTATCTGTAGTTGTCTACCCAGTAACCAAACAAGCTAAGCGTACGTCAGAAGCTTTGTGCTGTTTATTTTTTTCCGCAGCAGTGTGTTTTTACCTGTGATGTCTGTTTTTAGCGTTGACCCTTAATATAGTAGTTGGCAGCGATGAACTCACCTTCGTCACCGCAAGTTGCAGAGAGGACATAGCTTTGCACTGTACTTTCCATAAAAACTGTCAGAACTACACCTCTGTTACGTGGTACAAGGTGAGCCATATGTCCATCTGTCAAATCTCATATGACCACTGCTAGAAACCATATTCTGTTTGTCATGTTTAGCCTACGTCATGCTTACTTTCTCAAACATTTTGTGATGTGGATATGTTCAGGTGTCTTATAAGTTTATGGTTTAGCCTATACAGGAAATTAACACAGAATGCGTTTTACGTTTAAAACGCGAGAAAAAAGAAAGAAAAGAAAAGAAAAACACTTGTTTTTAGAACGCATCGTGTATGCAAAAGACGAGACGCACACGAGTGTCTGGCGCACGTTTACATAAAAAAAACAAAACAATGGAAAAGCAGCGCAGTGGAATCCAAAATGCGTTCTGTGAACGGTCTTTAATGTCTGTGGCTTTAAGCAGAAAACATGTTGAGACGCATTCATTTCCTTTACACCCATTCCTCTTAATTCTTCATTCAGAGCCAGTTTTATCTGTACATTCAGACCATTAGGCGCGTTTCCATTACCCTTCAAATTGCGCAAATTGAAATTGCGAATTGAAAATTCGCCTAATGGAAACGTGTCAATTTCACAAAAACTCCTATATATCGCAAAAAAGTTTTTACGCTCGCATGAGGTGGTTTTTCAGGCAATGCGAAAAAGGAATAATTCGCAAAACTGCAATGGAAACGGCTTTTTCGCATTTACAGGTCACATGGCGTATGTAAAAAGTCATATGATCATTCTTCAATGTACTATAACCTCCAAGAAACACTTCATAAGTGGCCGCGCTCCAGTATAAAGGGGCTTTCCCTACCATTAATGCTTAAACAATTTACACTGCACACGTCTGCGGTGCAGTGTGGCTCTGATACGGTCACTGAAGCTGATTGCAGCCACTCAGTGCTTGTTTATGTTTTTATACAGTCTACGGTTTATTCCAGCCGCGCCACACACGTTTCTGAAGCGGCTCTCTTTGCTGCTTCTGTAAAGATACACGCATAAGCCTCCTTTGAATAAATATAGCCAAAATCCGTTGCCATGACTTATCGCGAGAGGCAAAAGGTTACGTTTTAGTCGCATAACATTGGTTAATAGAAACGCCGTCATTTCGCAATACTTTTTTATCGACATTTAGAAAATATCGCCAAAGTTTTGCGCAAATCTGTTATGGAAACGCGCCTAATGTTGCAATTATAAATCAGGACTTAAGGAGTATAGTGAAAGTGACTCCTGGTTAACGTAGCTTTAAAGGGTCATGTTTAGTCACTATTTATACTTGTTTTATGTATGACAACAGAAACAGAAAATATGTAAAGGGGAACAGCTTTATTGGGCATTCAGTTGTATTACAGTATGTGACAGTTCAGAGAGTAGAACAGATCTGAAGTGCCAAAACATGTCTGAATGCAAACACGACGCAATAACATCATAAATATGATAAATTATTATGTGACGTTACCTGCTGCCACAAGTATTACAAGATCCTGTGGGAAACACTGCTTAAATTAAAAATAATAAATATTAACTTATTTTTTTTTAGTATGCGCTTTATTTTAATTTATTATTTTATCATTTAGAATTTTAGTAAGTGCTTTATTTTGATTGTTTTTATTTAAATTTACTGTATTTTTACTGTATTTACTAAATCTCAGTTTAGGGCCTCAGAAAATGGGTCAAAATGCCACCAGCTGTTGTGTAAATCAAGGTTATTATAGTTTTTCATTTTTAAATTCGTTTTATTTTTATATCGTTTTCAAATTTGCTATAAAATTCAGTTTAGTTTTTATTAGTTTCATTAATATTTTTGTTAGTTTTAGTTTAGGTGCAGGCTTTAAACTATCTGCTTTGCGTCTCTCAGATAACCCCATGTGCGTGATGCGCCATTACAGGTAGGCTATTTCCCTTAACCTCCACACAGCTTGTATATTTTTCTGCCAAGGGGTGAGAACGTAATGATTACGAAAACGATTACTTATTTTTGATCATTATTATTTTATTTCAGTTTTTCAATAACTGTTCTTAGTTTAGTTTCGGATCAATTTCTTATTGGTATCAGTCTATAGTATTCTTAAATAATCTCGGATTGATTGAAATGAAATTTAAATATGAATTATATAAACCGAACAAACAACAGACACATTTAATAAGGTAGTTATAAAAATTGACCATACAAAAGGTAAAACATTACCCCTGGTAAATCACTTTCAGGGGGCAAATATTGCCCCTTTACGGAAAAGTTAATTTCTGCCCTTGCTGTGATATAAAGACTCGTACCTGAGAAGTGTGGTGGAGGTCCACCAGGTCCAGGAAAGCGGTCTCCTCCCGGGCCAGGTGGGGTGGGAAAGCGCCCTCGATTCTTGCCAAGAGGGAAGCCACTGCGAGATCCTATGCCTGGAGGCCCGGCCTTCCCCTCTCCCGACATCTGCCCGGACTGTGTGCCTGGGTGGACAAAAACTAACCGTAAAAAAAAAAAGTTCACTAAACTGTTCAGTCAATAGATTTGCTTTCTGTGAATTGCGGTCTCACTTTTTCGCGACTGCATCTCAAACTGGCTGAGCGACTGTTTGTTGCAAGGGGTGACAATCGGGTTTTGTCCGTGCAGCTCCCGTTTGGACAGCAGATCCATCAGCTTCCTGGATGAGGAGTCTGAACCCACGCAGACCAGAGCAAACCTGTTGAGCAAAGAGAGCATGAGAAGTCATGTTTGATGCCGATCTCTATAAAACCATGTAGCTGAGGGCCAAAGAAGAGCTGGTCTGTACATTAACAAAGACCTAGGAAACAGATTTCAGTTTTCACTTACCCTTTTGACTGGCCATTTGCTCGATTCTCAAAAAACTTGATCTCCAGCACATCATTGATGCCTATTGAGCGAATAGCATCGGTCAAATCTTCATCAGTGGTCCACTGTAAAGAGGAAATCCCAACATCAACAATATGAACACTGAACTGAACTTACATTGTTTGAAACCAAGTAGGCAGGGCTCAATGCTAAAAGTTTTTCTACAGCCCAGTGGTTCAAATTTTTACTTGCCTTGCCACAAAAAATAAAATAGTTGCTGTTATCATTGTTATCAAAATCTTAGATACCAATTCAATTTTATAATTCTTGATACCACAGCAGAAACAACTAGCCTACCAAATATAAAGTTCAAACATTATTAAAAACAAGTGAACAGTCAGTAAATAAGAACAAATTTCAAACAATAGCACAATTTAATACAGTTTTTACCACTTTTAGGCACTTCCCCCGGGGTAAATAAATAAATAAATATATATATATATATATATAGGTTCACAATTACAACTGCGATATGAACACTGAACTGAACTTACATTGTTTGAAACCAAGTAGGCAGGGCTCAATGCTAAAAGTTTTTCTACAGCCCAGTGGTTCAAATTTTTACTTGCCTTGCCACAAAAAATAAAATAGTTGCTGTTATCATTGTTATCAAAATCTTAGATACCAATTCAATTTTATAATTCTTGATACCACAGCAGAAACAACTAGCCTACCAAATATAAAGTTCAAACATTATTAAAAACAAGTGAACAGTCAGTAAATAAGAACAAATTTCAAACAATAGCACAATTTAATACAGTTTTTACCACTTTTAGGCACTTCCCCCGGGGTAAATAAATAAATATATATATATATAGGTTCACAATTACAACTGCGTAAAAGCATCAGACGATTTTCGCGTTGGTCTGACTGAAAACAGCAGACGGGCTGATTGAAAATGCACACTCATTCTCTGCCAGCAGGAGGTGCTTTCAGAACAGCAGAAATACAGCGGTTTCCCCGTTAATGGCTGTAATCAAAACAGTGCTGCGCTCACAAATGCTACTTTATCAGGCATTATAGTAAAGATGACATTGAAGCTTTTCTAAAGACAGTCCGTACTCTTCAAAGACACATTTTTTTGATTTTGAAACATGCAGTGCTCATGTATATTTAACAAAGCCAAAGTCTTTTGAAAAATCTATTTGTGGTAGTCAGTTTTGATATTGTGGCGGGCCACCACAAATAAATCAATCTATGGGAAACACTGGAACATACAAAACAGAGATACTTGAAATGCACGGCTCGACAATAAGGACTGCCCGATGGCCCGGGGCCAGTGTGAGAGACACTCAGGACAGTTGATGACTAGGGGTGCTCCGATCAGGATTTTTGAGGCCCATCACCGATTGCCGATCCCAGAAAGCAGTATCTGCCGATACCGGTCACCGATACCGATCTTTTTAAAGCCTTCTTTTTATCATTTATAACTATTTATAGTGATACTCCAATCAGGATTTGTAGACATTTATTCAGGGCCTGAATTTCATTTTTGAAAATGGGGGGAATTCCCCTTTTAGGCGACTCTTGTGAGAGGAGAAGCAGCTTTCACACAGGAGTCCAATACTGATCCGTGGCTGTTTACCAAAAACACAACATTTATCCATTATTTTGATTTCAAATCCAAACATTGTCCCTGAAAATGCTTTTTCAGCATTGCAATTCTTTTTTTTACACAGTACAGTAATACAACCTTTCATAGACATGTTTAAACACAATAAATATAAGCAACACATTATTCAATGCTTTTTACTTTTGCAGGTGCCGCTGCATGTCATGCCAAACCTCTCATGGCAGAGTCATCAGCTTGAGATCGGTTTTTTGAGATCGGTCTTTTTAGAGACCGCCGATCAATCATCCCAAAGCGATTATCGGCCGATAGTGATCGGTAGCCGATCAATCGAAGCACCCCTATTGATGACTGTTGGCCACTGCTGCATCATCACGAACGTTTATCATTTGCATGTGTTTTTAAGCCTTGCTAATTAAAAAATTCAAGCGATTTTAAAGTATCCAAGCAAGACGTGAAAGACAACTGCATTCAGTACTCGTGCGCTGTGTTCTGTGTGTACAGCATGCACACAGACAAATACATACAAAAGTATATCAAAACACCCATCTTGGCGAGTAACTTTGTAGCTTTAACAAAGATTAACTGATATTTAATTTATACAGTGGGGTAGAGATGCACCGGTCCACCGGCCATTTTTTGTTTTATTTCAGACTCTCTCTGTTCTGGATTTGCACACAAAGTGCATTGCAATCATTCTTCCTAAATGTAATTTGTGTGGAAATATTATGAAGTCTGAAAATGGCCGTTAAATAGGCCAGAGATGCTGAAGATGTAAAATTTTTTTTAAACAGGTCACATTCTAATGTAGGAATTTTTTTTTAAGCTGTATTAAACATGTTTTGATGCTTTACATCCCCTTTAAAAATACTATAAATAAATATATATACATATACACATATATATATATATATATGAAGTGTTCAGATCCAAAAGCCTCAAAGTACGTCTGACGTTTTTCTTTAAAATTAGCATTTCTTTCTGGCTACTACGTATAGGTTTCTATGTAAGTACTGGTACTTCTGAATGGGTTGAGGATGGGATTTTAGCGCATTTGAAGTGAAAGTACTTGATGAACATATACTATGTGTGGAGAGCATTCACTCAGTATCATTATCTCATTTTTGACCAAGATGGCTTTTAGAGGCTTTTGCATTGGAACTCTTCATTCATTCATTCATTCATTATATATACACACACACACACACATCTATATATACATATATATATTGTTGTTTTGTTTTTTTTATTGTAGGGATGCACCGAAATGAAAGTTCTTGGCCGAAGCCGAACAAAATGAAACACTGGGCCGAAGGTCGAATACGAATACGTCGTACGTATCGCATTGTCACATGCCTTGTAAAAATGTGACTGAGCAACGGACGACTATCAGCGCAGATTTTCCTAGCACTTTGGACTTTGAACCTGGTTAACAAGCAGATCTGCTGCGAGTCCGTGCAGCGCTGTCAGAATACATGCAATGCGTGCGTGTATTAGAAAACATAACGTTCTGCAGTTTATTTACTAATTGTTTAAGGCCATTTCGCGATTTCAATCATCATACAGTAACCAACAACAATCACCCCTTCCTCTTTTCATCGAAGACATGCGCCGCAGTACTAAACAGTCTCTCGCTGTCGGTGCTTGTAATGATTTTTGCGTCTTTCTCCGACAGTTTAAATGCTTCCACACTGCTGACATGTGTGCTGCATTATAAAGAATGCGCACCTCTCACTCTACACTGGATGCTATTTGATCGCGTCACGTCATTGCTCGGTACAATTTATTCTGTCTTTTTGCTTAGTAATTTCGGCTGCCAAACATTCGGTGCATCCCTATTTTATTGTAGAGGCACAAGACTGACCCATGTGAGGTTGCCGATGTACAGAGCGATTCTTTTGCCAGTGTAGGTGTAGACGACGTTCGGCGGAGCTCCTTTGTTCCCCTCGGATCCTCCCGGTGCAGGCAGGTTGTCCAGGTAATCTCGGTCCTCAGGTGCGTCCCCGTTGTTGGCAGATGGTGAGATGACATCATCATACAGGTCAATCTGCTCATGAACAGGATAATCTGACTCCTGTGGAAGCACAAAGACAAACACGCGCTTCAGAAATATTCACAGGACAGGCATCTCAACCATGAGCCAATGTTATGTTAGTATCATTGAGATACTATTACTATTAGAATCGAGATTTTGTAGTAATTTTGTTGTGCTTGTCATTTTTATTAGATTTTTGAATAAATCCTTTATAGAAATTAAATACATTTATTAAATAAAATTGCTTCATATTATAAATAACTAGAATTTTTTTTTCAGTTTTGATTTTAATTTTAGCAAAAGTGTTAGTAATTTTGTTGTGTTTGACATTTTTCTTAGTTTTTAAAAATATTTGTAGCTTATATTTTCATTTTACTTGAAGTTTTAGTAAATTTGTGGTGTTTTATTAGTTTCACTTTAAAAATATTTATTTTTTATATTTTCAGTTTCCATGTTAATGTTTCAGTAATTTCGCTGTTTGTCATTTTATTATTTTCTTATTAGTTTTTATCGCATTTTTTATTTTAAAGTTTCAGTAATGTCGCGGTTTGTCATTTTATTATTTTCTTAGTTTTTAAAATCGCATTTTTATTTGTTATTTAGTACATACAGTTAAATTTAGGGCTGGGTATCGTTCAAAATTTTTCGATATCAGTTTTGAGTAAAAGCGGAGTATAAATCTTATTTATTGTCTTATGCATGATGCTACAGTTTGCATGAATGGTCACATAACACGCGCTTTCGGTCGTGTAACGTTAGTATGAACGGACATCTGCATATGATCGGAACTCCACGCAGCTCCCGCGCTACTCTATACTGGTGGTATTACAGTACCACGAGAGCTAAAGAGAGCAGACTGCTCCGTGTGCTTTCGAATCGCTCTCGCGGATGATCGATCTGCGCCGCGCCTCTAGTCGAACACACCGGCAAGTGCTGCAGGCTTATTGACTCACTGACGCTGATGAGATTAACCCCTTAGGTATCGAAATTTGGTACCGAACGACAAGACGTTTTTCAATACTCCATGGTATCGAGGCAATTCGGTCGGTGCCTAAAAAGTATCGAACTCGATACCCAGCCCTAGTTAAATTAAATAAAAATGATTAATGCTGGCATCTAGCTGAAATTGATTTTTTTATATGATTCATTTTGTTCATTTTATTATTTATTTATTGTTTTTTTCTCCCCTCTTTTAAGTTTTTTGTATTTTAATTGTAAAGTTTAATTTAATTGTAAAGCACTTTGTATCAACTACGTTTGTGTTAAACTTGTGCTCTATAAATAAAATTTGCCTTGCCTTATTTTATAAGAATTGATTTTTCTTAAAGAGCAGGTTATATGGTATTTTAAAGTGTCCTAATATTGTGTTGGGAGTCCCCTACAACAGGTTTAAATGCATCTAAGGTCAGAAAACATTGTAATTTTCTCAGAATATACATTAAATATTAAAATCATTTTTCAATGATTTCGAAACGATTCGTTCGAAGCAGTTCTGTAAACTCCTCCCTTCCATCAGCCTACTCTGCTCTGATTGGTCAGCTGTCCAAGTCTGTTGTGATTGGTCTTCTGTATACAATGTATACAAAGCACGACTTGATCAGGACGTTTCTCAGTGGTAAATTTAAACTTTGTATGTGGTACTTTACGTGATGTGACAACCGTTTTATTGCATTTATTATTATTATTTACTTATTTGAGGTGCACCTGTGGGAACTGTGTTAGAATGCACAGTGAGGCAGAAAACGACATGTAAACAAACTAACTAGCGGAAGTGTTTGTGGGCAGGTCAGAGTGTTCGTATTTCTCGGGGGAGGGGCGGGATTATGCAAATGTGTTACCTTGCGAGGTATATAGGTAACAGCAGAAGATTCGAAAATATAACGACTCGTTAAGGTGGTTCAGAGTCGACTCTTTCTTTTGAGAGACTATCTTTATTTATCAAACACTTTTTTGATTAACAGCTTTGCAGACTGCATGACCACCTATTCAGCGCATATAGAGACTATTTAGAATAAATGTTTAGAATATTTATTAATATTAAATGTTTAAAATACTTATTAATAAAGTATAAATGCATTATAAAACTTTAAAAATACACAAAATTGACACCTATAAATGCAAATGTTTGTAAATAACAAATAAAATCCTGTAATCAATCAGACTCACTGATGCCTCCTGCTTCCAAAGCTAATTTGCATGTTATTAAAACGAACGTACCAACTTCAGGACTGTGCCAAAGTACAACCTGCATCATTTTACAAGCACGTTCAAGAGCATCTGACACTCCGTGAACACGTTTACGGTTAGATTTATTAATCACAAGCGCCGATCCGTCCGGCCGAAGCGACAGCGTGGCCTGCTGTAGCAGCACGAGATCAAACAATGAACGCGTGCGCCGCAACGGACTCCGTTTCGCGCTCCAAATGCAAATACCAACACAGTACAGCTATTATTTAGATACCTAACAAAAAATAAGATACGTAACCGACTTAACCTTTATGTTACTGTGTACACAGACGCTGCTCGCTAGCTAGCTGCTAGAGTTAGCAGACGCGCTAGTAAATTCACAGAGAAGAAAGCGCTGCGCGTTTCTGTGAGGCTCTTTCCAATCTGTACGTACGACACGTAAAATATTTATTATTAGTCAAGTGTAGATGTTGAAAGTAAACCTGACCTGATTAAATTCCTCTTCTACATCGGCGTAAATATCGATGTGGTCAACACCGTCCGCCATTTTCTGTTTCCTCCTCCTCCTCTTCTTCTTCTTCTTCTTCTTCTTTGACGTTTTATGGCCGATGGCAAACCAGCTTTAGGTGCATTTACCGCCACCTACTAGGATGGAGTGTATGTACACTTCCCCATAGCGTATTGTGAGCATTAAAATCCCCACACCATATCATTTTATGATTTCCTAATCCCCCAATACTCTCTAATGTTTCTCTACTTAACCTTTCACATGGGTTATAAAAATTTATCACCCATATACTTTGTGATTCGGCCCAAACTTCAACCACCAACGACTCATATTCCTTATTTACCTGCACTGTTCTAAACCTCCTCCTCCTCCTCCTCCTCCTCCTCGGTGCTGCGCGTGAAGAAGAAACGCCCGCCCCCAAAAAAACAAAAAAACCGACGTGCTGATGAGCGACACGCAATTTCAAAATAAAGGCCTTTTTTGCCTTGCCCGTCATGTTCCGTTAAGATTCACTTTACTGTCTTTATATTTCGGGTCCCGATGCATAAAATTAATATTAGTAGTTGCAAAACTTACCAATTATGTTCCTTGCAAATTATTTTTATTTGTTCACCTGTCAGCGTAAAAATCACTTTCCAGATATTAGTTAAACTTGGATTTTATTCATGTCTTCATACCAGAGAGATTCAATTATAAAAATGAAATTATAACCCAATAATGACATCCTCCTGAGAAACAGAAAAAAAAATTGTGATATTTTTTTTTTTTGTCATAGGGTTGGAGCATGAGAAACAAACGGAGAATTATTATTATTTTTTTTTAATATATTTTATTAATATTTTATTCTATGTCCTAAGTTATAAAAAAAAAAATAGACATGAAAAGTCATGTATAGGCAAAAACAATGTTTTATTTTTTTCATTCACTAATCAGTTTCAGTCAGGTTTCAGGCTATTTTAGCCCAACTTTGTGCAAAGATGATTCTCAACAATGTTATTAAAGATACAACAGAATGATTTTATATACGATTTTACTTTATGGAATATGTGCGTAAAATGTCCATATAAACTGGTATTCCCATTCTATACAATGCATCTATACATTGCCTCTAATTTGCATATTAATGTGTTCTTGGGGCAAACCATAATGAAAAAGAAGTGTTATAATGGGAGTAATAACTTGGCAACATTTTCATAAGAATATCTCAGGAATATTGATCTATAATTTCTTGTTGTGTTTCCCTTAACATGATTTTTGTCCTGGTGTCCTCTACAGAAGACATGCATGAAAATTATGCCGTTTCATAACAAAAAAGTCATATTTCGATATGAAACCCCATAACATTTTTTTCTGAGATGTTTATTTACAACAAACAATTTGAAAATTAGCCAGATTTAAATGATAATTACAAAACACTATCATATTTCCCTACGAGTGCCAAATTTGATATTTCTGTCAATATTAGCTATATTTAAAGACCAAGGAGAGGGAGTGTTTATGATCAAACCTCCAAACATTTAACATCTCTGAAAAGCCCTGAATATGCATGTAGGGTCTCAGAGAAATCACTAAAATATAATGTCCTCTACAGAGGACAAAAGTCTATACCTAGGTCCCAGGAGGATAATATAGCCCATTTTTTCAGAATATAAACTTTTTTGTAGTAAACATTTGTTAGGACTCTTATTTTGAAATTTGACTCACAAGCGAAGACGGACTCTTATGAGCGCGACACACAGAGGCTTTCTTCATTGAGAAACTAATATTTAGTGCTTAATGGCAGTTCCGTTCAGTAATTCAGTTCAGTTCGAAACTGTTCCCATTTCGTAGAAGCCAATCCTAGTAAAACACTTTACTCTCTGTGTACTATGTTTAAGAGGATGGCTGAATTTGGTCCAGATTCGGGGGGACGGGTGAAGGTAGGTAGTGATCGTGATGCTAATGCTAATGCTAATGCTGATGTATTTACAATAACAGGGCTGATTTATGCATTTATTATAATAACTTTATTTTCAGGGAGTGACTATCGTGAAACCTATCGTGTTTGGAAACGTTGCACGATATTTTGGCAAGAAAAGAGAAGACGATGGTCACACTCATCAGTGGACAGTTTATGTGAAGCCGTACAGAAACGAGGTTGACGCTTATTTATTTTTAAGAATTGTATATTTCACATGTGGTACACTAAAAAAATTATTTGTTTATTTCCCCCTTATATTCCCAGGATATGTCTGCTTATGTCAAAAAAATACAGTTCAAACTGCATGAAAGTTACGGGAACCCTTTAAGAGGTGTGCGATTCAGTTTATCCTACAGTATTATCGTGTCATATCAAACATTTGTGACTTTATTTGACTCTTAATTGTATTTCAGTGGTTACGAAGCCTCCGTATGAGATTACAGAGACTGGATGGGGAGAGTTTGAGATCATCATAAAGATCTTCTTCATGGATCCAAATGAGAGACCGGTAAATGGCATTCAATGACTTTTTTATTTTTCTCAGTGTGTAAATTATTAATCTTTTAGATGCTACAGACCCCTAAACACAATCACCCTCATGCAAGGGACCCCTGTCCAAAAATGTAAAAGGCAGCTATGTACTATTTTTATGTATAAAGAGCTCATTACAACTGTGAAAAATATAATAAATATATGTAAAAAATAAATAAAGTATTTATTTTTAATAAATAAAAAAATGCAACATAAAATATTTAGTTTCTATTACTTTAAATTATGAAAATATTTTGTTTCTGTTATGTCCAAATAATGGAAAACATTTAGTTTTTAATATGTGTGTGTGTGTGAATATATTAATATTTAATAACTTGACAATAAAAAAAAAATGTTTTGCCTCCACTATATATATATATATTAGCCTCCACTAGAGGCTGCTGAAGCACAACCACACAGTAATGGACAACCACTTTAATATTTACCATAATCTGACATGAAATACTCAAATATGATTTCCCCCACCACCAAATTAATACTTGATCAAGGGAACAGTAGCTTTAAAATATTAAAGATTATGGGAGACATTTCAATCCACAGACAGTATATAGTATATCACATAATATATCATGAAATGAATTGTTATCCTATATTAAAAAGGAAAGATGCATTCTGTATTTTTCATGCTTTTTTATGCAAAAAACAGATATAGAGTATTTCAGGCAACCTTTATAAAGTTAAAACTATTTACTTGGCTTTAGTGTTTTGAAAGTGACGTTCTTTTTATTTTCCGGGCACAGAATAATATTCTTCATCTAGAGTAGGGTTCTATGAATCCTTAGGTTCTAGGTGTTCCATGAATCCTCTACATTCCTCATGAGTTTTAAGCGGTTTTTCTGTAGTTTCTCATAAGCACATACACACACACGACCCGGATGCGGTAGTAATGGGGCAGATCTCTCTCGCTCTCTCGGGCCTGATGAGAGTGGGAGCCAGAGTTGCCAAGTCCGCGGTTTTCCCGCGGAATTGGGTTACTTTAATGCCGCGGGTTGTTTATCAAGTCCACGGGTTGAAGCGACTCCAATAACGTGATATTTAGCCCCTGAAAAGCGAATTTTTACCAGGGTAACCCCGCCAGAAAATGTGTATTTTACCCGCCGGGACGCGATTTTTAAAGGGGGGCTGGGCTAGCTTTCAGTAGCGATTGGGCGGGTTTTGTTGTGAAAACCTGGCAACCCTGGAGAGCGGAGCTGCGCGAGCTTACAGTGATTCTGCTCGAGCGCCTTCACTTTCTGCCGCAACTCAACCAAATTATCACATTTATTTCCATAGAAATCACAGCGAAAACCGATCGGACTTAACAATCAGCATCGGAATAACATTTCAAAGCGTTTCCCCGCCTCTCTTCCCGATTTCTGGACTGCGAGACATGGATAGATGGAAAAGTTTGGCTGTTTTTGGTGTCTGTGAGGGAGTTCGATACGGGCGATGAGTCCCGTGAAGAGATTTCACACATCTGACTGGAAAAACACTCATTTACTGCGCTCATCTACACAATTAACCACTTATTAAACTAAGCCAGTGGAGATATGACTATAGTAAGTACTCATTTAACGTTACCTCATATTTCATAAATCAAATCTCCTCTGCTGTGATTAGTTAGCTGGCTAGGTAATTAGCATAGTAGCTTCGCAAACTATTATATAATCCAAATCAGCCAAGTCTTTGGGTTTCAAGTCATATTTTCTTCGTTTGGTATGTTATTGTGGTGCAAAAACGGAGTTTAAAAGTTGTTTTTCCTCTGACGTAATAAAGTATGACATCGGTGTGTTCAAACATCTTTGATGTGTGTGTTTTCAGTTAAACTAGAATTTATCAAAACATTCTGTTAAAAGCTTACTTACAAATATTATGTGCTTGGTTAAAAATAAGCTCAATAAACATTATTTCACTAGGAACATTTAAATTGGTTTGCGTGTTTATCCTGATAAGTGATGAGGATCTAATACTGTGTGAATTTAAAAGACCTAAAACAATTCATTGTTACTTTAAAATATTTTAAATGCATTCAAAATAGGTGATTTTATGGCGGATAGTACAGGTCTGATGGATTGGTTTACTATTATACCCCACATACATTTATAATTATATTAGTTATATTTTGTGTCATTTTAGACTTTAAAAAAAAAAAATATATATATACACACATAATTTACTAGTTTGACTTTCAGAGGGTCCTCAAGAGTGATTATTAATGAATAAACCTGATTATAATCACTGACCGCTTATATGAGTCCCTCCATTCACATTAATTGACATTTGCATGCTTTAATCATATTTAATAATATTTTGGATATGTAAACAAGGCAGTGCATGCTTAGTATGACTGTAAATACAGCAGGTATCATAACTAACATGGCATGATTCATAACGCTGATCAGCAGCATTGATCTTCCGAGCTCTTGGAGACTTGTGTGTTTCCGAGAATCTCGCCTGAAGCCTGACAATGTGTCGTTTCTGGGAAAGCAGCGGTCAGCGGTGATGCAGCGCTTGTGTCCTTCACTTTTTCTGTCTGATTGAACATTGAACGGATTCAGCAGCGGGTTCCCATTGTCTGGTGGGTTATTTGCCGATAGATTCGACCCATGCATGTGTAGAAATAGGCATTAGTTTGCTTTAAAGATATTCCAGTCAACGAAGGACATATTAGGCCCTTTTCTAATGGGTGTGGTGTACTGTAGGTCACCACACCTGAATCATGGCAGCAGACACAGTCATGATTGCACAAAGTGAAGGACCTGTGGGTGTGACGACCGAGAGCATCACCACCCATAGGATAAAGCTTTGGCAGAAGGCACTAATGCCGCCTCGTGCTGATGGATGTCAGGATCCAGGTGGAAAAAGCAGATTAAAGACAGGTCTGTTTGCACACACGCTCCCTCAAATCTGTGTGTGTGCCGACAGTGTGACTGTGTTTCTCCTGTTTGCCCAGTGACTCAGCAGAGCTGCCTTTATGGTTTCCCGTTATTGCATTTGACGGTTTCTCTGACGCACTTTGCATTATGTACTCTTATCAGCGAAAAGATGCTTTGAATACATTAAGTTGTCAGCATTAGTACAAGTTTATGCCATATGTTTATGCCAAATCCTCAATGTCTAAACCCATCAGCATTCCGTTTGGCTTGTATTGTGTGAGATTGTTTGCTTTCATTTGTGCATTTAAAACTTTAGGGCTTGTTTCAGTTGTTGGGTGTCCATTCTTTCAAGCACACTGAAAAGAAATGGTGTAGAATAATTTTTTTACTCAGAAATTGCCAGTAATTTAAATTTTTTTAAAAGAAACAGCAAGAAACACTTTTTAGGGAATAGTTCACCCAAAAATGAAAATTTGCAGAAAATGTTTTTAGGCCATCCAAGGTGTCATTGACTTTTTAAATGTAGCATTGCATCACTTGCTCACCAATGGATCCTCTGCAGTGAATGGGTGCCGTCAGAATGAGAGTCCAAACAGTTGATAAAAACATCACTATAATACGTCTTGTGAAGCCAAAAGCTGTGTGTTTATAAGAAACAAATCAACCTCCAGTGAAAAGTTATCTTGCCTGAATCAGTAGAGAAATCTGCACAGATCAAGCACCGTTTACAAGCCAAAACGGCTCTAAACAAATATGTGACTGGATTTTGATGTAAGAGACAACAGGAGATGAACTGTTTCACTCGAGGAAGCATTATTATGGATTATAGACTAGTATTTTAGTCAGAAGCAACGGTTTGATGTTGAAAACGTCTTAATGATGGATCTGTTTCTTACAAACACAGCTTTTGTCTTCTCAAGACATTAATTGATGGACTGGAGTGCTGTGGATTATTGTGATGTTTTTATCAGCTGTTTGGACTCTCATTCTGACGGCACCCATTCACTGCAGAGGATCTATTGGTGAGCAAGTGATGCAATGCTGCATTTCTCTAAATCTGATGAAGAAACAAATTCTGCTACATCTTGGATAGACTGAGGATGACTAAATTAAGCAAATTTTCAATTTTGGGTGAACTATTCCTTTAATAATCAGAAATACCAGGGAAATTCAGTATGTAATGTTGTGGCTCTCTCTGCTTGTGTTATATCATGTTCATGCTCATTTAATTTTTTTCACTCTGTAATGTGAAATGTGTTGATTTTGAGGCCGTGTTGAATTGCAGATAATAGAGCAAAAGTTCTGAAGGCCGTCCAGTTCTTTTCAGAGGCTCGGTGAAATAGCTTTACTGCTCTTATGAAAACACTCACAGCAGCTTGGCAGTTTTTCTTTCATTCGTACATCATAATAGCCATGTTGGAAGAACTGAGCTGAATCATCATCAGAATAATGATTCACAGTGACGTGATGGACAAACAGAAATTCAGCGTTTAGCCTTCAGTTTGATTTAAGTTCGTGATTTGATCTGAAAAGCACCTTGTCTTTGTTTGAGGAGCACATAAACAGCTGAGCTCATTTTAAGAGTTTTTTTTACTTGACAATAACAAATTTATTAATATTGTATACACTGAGAATACTAAATTGTCTGGAAATGTTCCTGCAGTCAATAATTGAAATGTTTTATTGATGCTGACTATGCAGAGTTAAAGTATTTTGTGTGTGTGTGTATATATATATATATATATATATATATATAAACCATGAAAACTAAAATAATTTTTTTTATTTCAAGTAACGAAAATGTGTTTTTGTTTAGTTAAAATCATGAAAACTAGCTGAAATAAAATATTTTTTTACATTTTATTTTATTTCAGCTAATTTTTATTTATTTATGGTAATGAATTTTGTATGGTTTTTAATTATTTTAATTATTTGTTGAAGTATAATTAATATTTATTTATTTATATATTGTTTGTTTGTTTTATTTAACTATAATCCTGCCATTAAGTGTTCCACGACATTCTAATTTATTGAGATGCACCTGTGTATATATATATATATATATATCTTTTATTTTTTGTATAATGAAAGTCAATGGGGTCTGTGTTGTTTGGGGTTCTTCAAAATGTCTTCTTCATAAGTCACCCAGGTTTGTAGAGTAAATGATGACTGAATGTTGATTTTTGGGTGAACTATCCCTTTAAGGAATGACAGAGTGGGAGTTTAAGATCCTCTGCTGGACTCTCGAGGCTTTACTCTCCCGGGTCAGCGGCCGGCCTCTGTGTCCTCACTGACTCAACTGACCTGTGCTTGATTTCTGTATTTCAAAGGAACTTTCTCTATCTCCTCCCCCTTCTCTTGTCCTCTCTTGAGAAGGATCATGCAGTGAGGTCGGCAGCTCTCTTTCTGATCTTGCGCCTCCCACACAAGCTTAAGCTTGTTTGCTACATGAAGAGCTAATAGCCACTATTTCAGAGTTTCACTGGAAGCTCCTCATTTTTATTATAACCCTTTATTGGAGGCCTGTATTAGATCATCTAATCTCCCTCAAATTCTCATTACTGCAATGCACAAATTAATAATTTGGGCAAAGCATGTGTTTAAAATTTGATGACAATAATGTTAGGATGCAACAACAACAAAAAAAATGTACTAGTCTTAAAATAGGATTTTGTTTATGCACAGTATATATTTTTCCTGTATTCAATTTATTTACACTTGTTTACAGGATGAATCTCGCAAAAGCTTTCAAGTAAACATCCAGGTCATAATCACAAGTCATAAGAAAAAAATAAAAAAAGATTGTGTTTTGCATAAATGTTTTTTTTTTTTTTTTGCATTGTGACATTCATTTCATGATAGCACATCTCCTTCAAAGTCACAATACTGCAATGCACACATTAATATTTTGGGGAGAAAACGTGTTTAACCAAAATGTAATTAAAATAATGTCACATGCAACTAACTAACTAAAATAAATACAATTCTAATCTTAATATAAAGTAATATTTTTAATGCACAAATGGATTTTTTTATTTTATATTTTATTTTGGGATGAAATATAAGCTGAAATTGTTTTTATGACATTAACATTACAATAAAGGAGATTGGATGCTTTTGCTGGTCATATTTTATTTTATTTTATTATATTTTTTATTATTATTTTTTAAACATGTCCTATTATATATATATTATAAATCTTTATTTCACTTTAAATGGGATGTCATTCAAGTTAAACTAAAAGAAAAAAAAGAAATTATACCTTGGCAATTAGCTGAAATTAAATAAGTTTTATTTGTCATAAGTTTTTTCTTTCTTTCTTTTTTTATTAATATATAAACTTTTTTTTTAAAATCAGCATACAGAATTGCCTTTGCTGGTCATATTTTATTTTATTTTATTATTTTTTTTATTATTTTTTTTTAAATATGTCCTATTATATATATATTATAAATCTTTATTTCACTTTAAATGGGATGTCATTCAAGTTAAACTAAAAGAAAAAAAAGAAATTATACCTTGGCAATTAGCTGAAATTAAATAAGTTTTATTTGTCATAAGTTTTTTCTTTCTTTCTTTTTTTATTAATATATAAACTTTAAAAAAAAAATCAGCATACAGAATATACAGTAAATGACAAACATGAACCATTTTGAATACTCGGATAATGCAAGTATTTCATT